AGACTCTCTAACCTTCAACGTACAAGAAGAGCCGACACTATTCGAAGAAAGTTAGGGTTTACTTGAAGGGGGCAATACCTAACTTAATGAAGACTAAATGATCAAAAAGGGATGAAGGGGAAAACGGAGGGTATTCAGATGGCCAACAGATAAAAAACAATTCATTCTCACCCTCCCCTTCAGCAATCTTTACCTCCTCGTGAATCTCAAATTCTTCCATTACGGAATCAATAATGAACTTAATATGCCAGACTAACAAAATCATCTCTCTTTCCTTTTTTTGTAAAAATATCATCCGATCCAGAAGTGGATACCTCTGCTTGAGGCAAGAATCATTTATTCGTACAACGGAATCGTTCGTAGCCTCAAGGGGATTAGAAACCCTAGAAGGAGGGACTTTAAGAAGGACAGGAAATGACGAATGTGTGATTTTGGAATCCATAATCTCCAAGAGGCGTGTCTTAAGTGCCACCTACTGAGCAAATAGCTCACCCCATCATATTCTACATTTTTTTCAGGACATGGCAAGGAATTGGCGGATGATAATTCACCACAGAACTAAGGAAACTTGAAGAGCATTTTGAATGTATTTTGTTGAATTTGAACTTATTTTATAAAGCATATGATGTGAAATATATTAAGTTTATTTGGTATGTAAATGATAATGTAACTAGAAGCTTGAATCCATTTTGATGTAAATTGTCCATGATGTAAAGCATAAGTTTAAAACTCATGTAATTAATTTCAATGATGTTTTATGTGATCATGTGTTGGTATCCTAGTCTGCAGCAGTTAAGTAACTCAGTTTTGGTGGCTTATTTCGAGTTAGGATCATTGTAAAGTCTCCATTTCAGTCCCCCTTTCATGTCCAAGGTGCAGCAGATCAACTGCAGATCAGGACTCGAAGGAGTCATTTCGGTCTACCGAAATGGCTTATCAGTCGACCGAACCGTTTTCTGTTCTCGGGATCTCTTGTTTCGGTCGAACGAAATGGCTCATCGGTCGACTGAACCTTCTTCAAGCTTTCAGGATCTCACTTTCGGTCAACCGAAGAAGAGTATCGGTCGACCGGTTTTGAAGGGCCTGCTTCGGCCGACCGAAGCTCCACTTCAGTCGACCAAAGTGCAACTGTTTGGTCCTCATTGCCCTTCCCTCTTTTGTATTCCATTCTTAACCTCTGGGATTCATGTTGAAATCATGTGACAACCTAGGAATGATCCTAAGGGTGATGCTTTGAGGCTTGAAATGATGGGTTTGACATAAATGACCTCGGGTTCGAGTAAGAACCCGGCTAACGGTTTGGACCTCTGGGTTCGGGTCGTTACACGAACTACCGCAGCATCCCTCTTTTCTTCTAAGAGGTCAAGGCTGTGTTTGAGTTGTTGATCATTATTCCCTTCGAGTAACAGGTGTCTCCAAAGAGTTGGGATCGCTGATTCTATTAGGATGACAGCTTCGGACCCATAAGCCATTACAAAGGGACTTTCCCCTGTTGGCCTTCGTGGAGTGGTTCGATAAGCCCAGAGCACATTAGGAAAATTTTCATACCATTTAGACTTGAGCTTTTCCAATTTCTTCTTTAGACAGTCGAAGATGGTTCGATTAGTTATCTCAACTTGTCCATTCCCTTGTGGATGGCTTACTGCGGCTAACTTCTGTCTGATTCCATGCTCGACAAAGAACTTTATTGTGCTCATGTTGTCTAGGTTCTTTTCGTTGTCCATCATGATAACCTTCGGTACTCCAAATCGATAAATTATATTATTCCACAGAAAGCTTTTCACTTGTTCGTGATTCACACTTGAATAGGCATCTGCTTCTACCCATTTTGTGAAATAATCCATAACCAATAACACGTATTCCTTTTGCTCCTGAGTTTTGGGTAAAGGACCCACCATATCTATTCCCCATTGAGCGAAAGGCCATAGATTTGCCATTATATGTAAATCTTCAGCCGGTTGGTACTTCATTGGGCCATAGCGTTAACATTTGTCGCACCTTCTGGCATATTCCTTAGCATTTCTAGCCAAGTATGGCCAGAAATAACCTTGAGTTAAAATTTTATGGGCGAGGGACCTTCTACCGGAGTGGTTGCCGCAATCCCCATCATGTACCTGCTTCAATACCTCGAGGGACTCTGTGAGAGTTAAGCACTTCAAATATGGGCCTGAAAATGACTTTCGGTATAGTCAATTATTAATGATGGAGTATTTGGCTGCTGTAAACCTTACTTTTCTGGCCTCATCCTTTTAATTTGGAAGGATTCCGTTTTTGAGATAACTTTCCAGTGGACCTATCCAGCTCGGTTCTCTTAAAACCTCTAGGATAACCATTACCGATAGGGCTACAAATGAGCCGAGCCGAACCGAGCTTTACCATGTTCGGGCTCGGCTCGCTAGTGCCAAAAGTGTGCTCGAGCTCGGCTGGGGATCAGGTGAGCCTAGTCAAACCTGGCTCAAGCTCGGCTTGCCAGAATTTCGGCTTGGCTCGGCTCGGGCTCGCCTTAAAATTAAAAAAAAAAAAAAAAAAAAAAAAAAAAAAAAAAAAAAAAAAAAAAGCTTTAGATCTGTAGCAACTGCTTTGTATTTTCAACGAATAAAATATGGAATCTGTGAATCCATCACTGCATTTCTTTTACTGACTGTCATTCTGCACATCATCCTCTGATCCCATCAACACTAAAATGAGATTGAGACATCGTAAGAGAAAGAAAAACAGATTTGAGAAAAGAAACCCAAGAAAGAGATTTGAGAGACAGAGATCTGTGGATACCGTCAATGATGAGCGAGAGAAAGATGTGTTGAATTGAAAGAGACTAGAGGACCGACCAATAAGAGAGGAAGAAGGACGCTTTGTTGAAACTGAAAGTTGCACTGCCAGATCTGTTGCGACTGCGAGATTTGTTAGGGATTTTATCTCAAATGGAATCAACGGCTGATACATATATAATATGTATATGTGTGATGATAGGGTAAACAAGTTAGGTGGACTTGGGCTTAAGTTGAAAGATTTTGGGCTTAAAGAAAAATCAAGTTGGGCTGAATTTATATTATATGGGCTAAAAAAATTGTATAAAAGATTTTTAAAAAATAAATTAATTAATATTTTATTAAACAAGCCTGTTCACGAGCCTAACGAGCCGAGCTTGGCATTGCTCAAGCTCGACTCGTTTACTAAATGAGCCTAAAAAATGTGGTCAAGCTCAGCTCGTTTACTAAACGAACGAGCCCGAGCTGAGCATTTAACGAGCCGAGTCCGAGCTGTTCATGAATAGCTCGGTTCATTTGCAGCCCTAATTACCAATAGCTGAGAATTTAAGCTAAGTTCTTCCAAGGTGTCAATAGGCACGATCCGGATCAAATCGTCATCTGAGGATGACGCCGTTGTAACTAGCTTGTCTACTCCAGAATTCTCTTCTCTTAGTACTTGGTGAAATTCAATTTGATCGAATCAACGTGTTGCACCCTCAACAACCTTCTGTACGCCTTCATTCTTTCTTATTTTGGTTGATATTTTCCTGTTACTTGATTCACAATAAGTTGTGAGTCACTAAAAACTTTTAAACACTTTACTTGGAGTTAACTTTCCAGTCAAAGCCCAGCGAGCATGGCTTCATACTCGGCCTCATTGTTAGTGGCTGGAAAATCCAAACGGATTGATTGTTGCAATTTTGTTCCTTTTGGAGTTGTAATGATGATCCCTGCCCCTACACTAGTTAGGTTTGAGGAACCATCTACATAGAGCTCCCAATGTGGTTTTGGAAGTTCCAGCTCTTCGAGTTTATCTTCATACTCTAGGAAAAAATCGACCATGGCTTGTCCTTTGTGTGACACCTTTGGCTCATAGGCTATGTCGAAAGAACTAAGCTCGATTGCCCATTTTGTATTTCTTCCTGACAAATCTAGCTTGGAGAGGATGGCTCGCATAGGATAGTTTGTGAGGACCACTATGCGATGAGATTCGAAGCAGTGCCGAAGCTTTCTCTTTGCATATACTAAGGCTAGTATGATCTTCTCTGCCTTGTTATATCGTATTTCAGCATCTATCATTGTCTTGCTTGTGTAGAAGACTGGATGTTGATTCCCTCCTTCCTCTCGGATCAATACGGCACTTGTGGCTGTGTCAGAGATTGCTAAATATATGGGAATCTGGTTGTATCTGGAGTATGCATCGAGGAATGTGAGCCTTTCGTAGCCTGTCATTGCGTTCACCATCTGGTCTATCTTTGGTAGTGGAAAACTATCTTTTGGACAAGCCTTATTGAGGTTGGTGAAATCTATGCAAACTCTCCACTTTCCATTCTTCTTCTGAACCACTACTACGTTTGAGAGCCACTGAGGGTAATGTACTTCCCGGATGAAGCCCGCCCGAAGCAACTTGTCTACTTCTTCAGCAATGATTTGATTTCTTTCAGGAGTGAACCTTCTATGCTTTTGTTTGATTGGTCTGAATGAAGGATCCACCTTTAGGTTATGGCATGAGACCGAAGGGTTGATCCCTAGCATGTCCGAATGAATCTAGGCGAATGTATCTGCAATTCTTCGAATGACATTAATTAATACCTCCCTCTCTTCGGCTGAGGGGGAAGAACCCATATAAGTGACTTTCTGTGGATTACCGAGGATAACTTCGATAGCTTCAAAAGATTCCTCGGTAGGTTTTGCTATTTCTGCCTCTGCTTTTGCTTCCAAATATTTAGGCAGAGGACTCTGTACTTGCTATTTAGCAACATCTTCAAGGCCTGTATCTAATTTGGATATCTTAACTCCTTTTTTTGCTTCCTTCAATGTCAACATGTAGCACTCTTTTGTAGCGACTTGATCTCTCCAAAGGTTAATGACTTTTTTTCCATTTGGAGATAAGCATCGCATCACCTAATATAGAGTAAACGGCACTCCATTCATTCGGTGAATCCAACCTCTTCCCATAATAAGATTGTAGAAAGGATGAATTTCTGTCAGAACGAAGTTTTCTTTCAATGTCCTCTTCGCAGCAATGACTTACAAATCGAGTATCCCAAAAGGGTCTACTTTCGTTCCATTAAATCCCATCAAAGGACTAGAAATGGCTCGAATTGATGATGACGGGATCTCTAACTGCTCAAACACTGCCTTTGTTATAATATTAACACTACTGCCAAGGTCTTTAATCATGCAATTTACTACCAGAAGACTAATGATGAGTGGATCTTCATGGGGAAGCTGCACTCTGGATAAATCTCCATTTCCAAATCCAATACTAATACTGCCTGAAGTGATAGAATTTACTGAGGATAACTTCCTTAGCTTATGGACAGCCCTCAATCTGGAGCGGTACACTTCTTCTGACTCTTGGTCTTCCTCCGACTTTCCATGTATTGCATGAATAACCTTTACTTGATTACCTTCTACTTTCCGAGAATTAACTTCCCTTGGCCTTGTCTGCTCTTTCGGCCCGAGATAATCTGCGAGGTCTCTTCTGGTTATCATATTTCCTACCTGTCGCCTAAGGGAACTGCAATCATTGGTTGTATGCCCATAATCCCTATGGTAGGCGCAGTGTTTGTTTTTGCCCCTCTGCTCCAGGGGTTGTCGCATTGGTTGAGGAGTTGTGAATCTTACTTTGTTCTCCTAGAATAACCGAGCCAATGTGGTACAGAGAGGTGTTAACCTCTTCTCGGTCTTCTGTCTTTTCTCAGGTATTTGGGCAACTGGTGCTGAGGCATACTGGTTTCTTTAACTTTTTGAGCTCGAAGCTTTTTCCTGAGGCTTATTTTCTATCGGGACGAGGTTGGCATGTTGTGCTCGGTGGGCTACATTCTCCTCAAGTAGAATATGAATTTGTGCCCTGGCATTAAGAGTCTACATATCCGAAGGGGAGTAGTTGACTAAAGAGGTATGGAACTTAGTCCCTTGGATCATGCTGATCTTGAATGCTTCTACAACAGTCTTAGGGTGATAATATGCTATCTCTAAAGCCTCTATGTTGTATCTGGACAGGAAATCCTGTAATGTTTTTCCTCTCTTCTATCTTATAGTGAAGGGACTAGTGATAGTCTTTTCCTGCTTCTCATTGCCGCAGTATTGTGCTAAGAACATGGCGCACAGAGTTTCTAGTTCGGGATGGACTTATGTGGCCTATTCTTGAACCATTCCGATGCAGTTCCTGTCAAATTAGCTGGGAAAACTTTTCACATGAATTCGTCGTTGTGGTTGTCCAGGGCCATTTTCTGAGAGTAGTGATCAAGGCGACGGGAAGGATCTCTCATGCCATCGAACTGAGCGAAAGCCAACATGGTGAATTTTTAAGTCTATTGACGTAGTATATCTGATCAGTGAATGGAGACTTCACCAGAAAGGACTTATGCTCCCTGGCCATCTCGGCAGGTGTCTGAATCCTCAGGAGCTTCTTTTCATCAAAGACCTCTTGGACACCATCTTGAACGCCATTTGCCCATACTGTGAGTTTGCCGCTGGATTCGGCCTATTCATCTAATATGCGATGAAAGTGGTTATCCGAAGCTACTACCTTGGTTCTCATCCTCTGCTCCTTCCAACTCTTGTTAGCTTGACCTTCGTCAACAGGAGGAACATTGTGATTGGGGAGAACTCCCACTATATTACCTGGTGGTGGTTGTGGTGCTATCTGCCCCATGGCAGTCTGGAAAGCATCATTCCTTTGTTAAAGCAACGCAATCTAAGCTGTACTGGTCTCATTTGCTTGACGGAGGGTCTTGAACTACTTCAAAAACTCTTCTCGCATCTTTTGCATTGGTTCCATCTATTGATCGGTTGCAGCTGCGGCTCCTCCGATTGACATCCCCGATCATAATAGCATAAAAGATTTTCAAATCACTCGTGGAGGTATATTTCTATACATTTCCCACAGCCGGCGCCAAAGTGTAGGTACAAATAATTCGTTTAACTAAGAAACTAAAAGAATAAATACAACTCACTCAAGTAAAGAACAATTAATAACAAGAACAATTCGGTGAGAAGCTTATAATGCTCGATGACCTTTATTGGAGGTCTATGCCTCTATTTATATACAAAAAAGATGGTGGAATTATGGTAGGATTCGCTATGCTTGTCCTCCAATTCATTCCATATATAACTCTTTACCTATAAGGTTCTTTCCTTCTATAATTCTTTTCATGCAAGACTTTTCCCACGCAGAACTTCCTTATATGAAGAATCATTTATTAAGTAGAACTTAATTAATCTGAATGGACTTGGATTATAATGTAAATGGGTCGGATGAATTTTTTAGCAGGCCGAGAGATTAACACTAATAACCTTGGATCGATATTGACTTTACTTGGGCTTGATCAAGATTGGGCTTTGATTGGCTATTGGAGAACTAATGAGATTATACCTTATTTTAATGAGGTGGATGATTCTTATTAAAGGGGGATTTTTCCCTCCACAAAGGGGAAATAGGATCCAACACCCAATCGGCTCCCACACAGTGACGAGATACTTTCGCAAGGGCATGAGCCACCCGATTACCTGATCGTCGAACATGAGATAAAGAACTCAGAGAAAAAGCCTGAAGCTCCACTTTAATATCAAAACATATAAACGCAATATCAAAAGGACATGGGCATCAACAACTATCTTTGCATCAGATTCAAAGCACAAAGATTCATATCCAGAAAAATATGCATACACACTCCTTCAAGATCTGTTATACACAATAAAATGATTATAATTATGGACAATACTTGTCTATTTACTGGTGAGTGAGTAATTTTTTTCTCAACGTTGATATGATCTAGTTATTAATACATACGTTGCCTATAATTACAAAATAAGCTGTGATACTTACACAATTATATCGAAAAATTGTAATAAATTGTCTAAAAGAATGGTTTTAATTGGTTATTTGTGCAAAATACAAGCAAGTAGAGGAGGGACCACTATCTTATTTATTGCATAAGTGACCAATTAAAAATAGCAATTTAGGGCAACAAGTCTGTGTAAAAATCATTTTCCTAACAAAATTAAAAAAGCAATAAATCATTTAGAATGTATGCTTAGTGTAATCTCATGTTTAGAAAGTGTAATGTTTATGATTTATTTCAATATACATACCCACCACTAAAAAAAATTCAACCTTTTAAATCAATATATATATATATATATATATATATATTGATTTAAAAGGTTGAATTTTTTTTAGTGGTGGGACCCACCACTAAGCCTTTAGTGGCCAAGAGGCCATTTCTAGCCTCATTTCCTCTTTCTCCCCGGCAGTCTCTCTCTCCCTCTTCATTTTCATTTTCATTTTCTTTTCAAATCAAGTTTTCAAGGCTTGATTAAGCCTAATTTCTTGGGAAATTGTTAGTACCTTTTGAAGCAAAGTCGGAGAGCTCGTCGAGGCCGTCAATTTGATAGTAGCCAAGCACCATTTGGCCAAGCCTTGGGATTTCAAAATTAGGGCTTGAATTTGGGAATTTTGGTATTTTTCTTCAATTAAGAGGTAGGGGTCTCTAATACACAATTTCTTGTGCTTTTGTGAGTTATTCTTTTATAAATTGTTATTTAGCATACTTAACTTGTATAGATTCTTGTAAAATTGCCTAAATGATGTATATGGAATGTATAACTATGTGATAGTTGATGTGCTGTGAATAAGCATGCCTATATGAGATTGAATTCTTGTTTTATATGCTTACTATTCTAGATCAATGTTGAATGAAAACATGAGTTATGAAATTTAGAAATTTATTTTGAGAAGCATGGGTGAAATTCTATGGTTGAATTGATGATTAAGGTTATGATGTATTCATACATTCATTGGGAAGGTAAAAGTGAAAGGTGTTTTGAAAGCAAATGAAATAGTTCTGGGAAAATGTTTTTGAAAAATATTTATGAAAACCGGACGCCTAGGAGGTGTCTAGTGGTTCGTGGTGTTAATGTGATCTAGAGGGAACTAGAGAGAGACTCTAGTGTGGTTGAGCTACCTAGGCCTAGACGACGCTATGAAAGTGCCATGTGGTCGAGGATAGCTAGCCAATCCTTCCCTCGTAGAGCCATAGAGATGCTATGGTCGGGTTGTATTAACAATTTGGTACGGTGAAAAGGAATTGTTTTGGAAAATAGGGAGCGAAATTGGCATGACATTGTACTTCATTAGCATATATGGTGTATTTGTGATTGGATGACATTTATTTATATTCTTATTGTTGTGGTTATTAATGTGCATTTCCTATGGCATGATCTCGCCTACTTTTACCTATTTTTTGTGTGGATTCATGGGGTCATAAGAGATATGTCTTAGACACTTCCTACTGAGCAGTTGGCTCACCCCTTCACTTTAATATTTTCAGGACACGGGAAAGAGGTGGCGGACGACGATCCACCACAAGTTTAGACGGGATTAGAGATCTATTTATTTTCCTATCTTTTGTATTAGAACTTTAATATTTTGTAAATGTAATCTTAACTATGTTATGAAACTTTAGTTCAATTAGTAAAATGTTATAAGTTATAGACTTTTAAATTTTAGCTATATTTCATAGACTGTAACTTGATGTAAATAAAGTGTGTTCCTTGTAAAGGATTATGAGACTAGGTAGTGAACTGGTGACTCTTTGTTTGGATGAGATAGAGGAATGGGACCTTTTTATATGTATGTAATTATTTTGGGAATGTGGTATATTATTTGCATTATGCGTTGGGACAGGATGATTAGTTTTAATGCCAAGTGAGGCCATTGCATTTTTATGTATTTCAACAGGTTGTAGAAGGACTTTTCTGCGGAGGTGATGCCGAAATTTTATATATTTATTATTATTATTATTATTATTATAATTATTATTATTGATATCTTTTGGGGTCGTTACAGAAAGAGCTAATGTAATCATATTCACCACGAAGGGATTTATATATTTTGACATTTTGACATGTCTTCGAAGATGCTACTTTTATTTTGTATCCCTTCTACGTATATGAGACTTAGGTGTGCAAAGGGATGATCATGTGTTTTATTTTGGTCAGTCCTTACTCATATGAATGCTATGTGGCTTAGAAACTATGTTTTGTGATGCTTGGGATAGGTTTTGACACTTTGGTGGCCTTACATAGGACCAAAATGGTGCATATGGCCTTTAGTACTAATAAAATGGGCCATTCGAAGCCATTTTAAGCATACTGGCAAAGCAGAACCGGTTGCGTTGCTTTTCTTGGTTCCGAAAATAGGCTACTACCTATGTGGAACCGGTTGCACTCTCTGACCAGCTCCCTGTTCTATCACTCCGACTTCAAATAGCCCTAACTCACTCATTTTAAATCCAAATATGGTCAAATTTGTGCTCAAAATGACTAGCTTGAAGTTAGATTTTCAATTGTACTAACCTCGTTCAAAAATTCCAACTACTAAATGAGTTATTCCTTTTTGAGTGTAGACTAGTCATGAAATTTTCTAAAATGAGGTTACCTATTTGTGGGAAATCACTACCCTAGCCACTAGGAACCCAAGGGAAGTGTTAATTACCTTAAATAATGATTATTTCATGTTAGATTTCTCACTCGGGGCTTGAGTAAGAGCCCGATTGTAACCTTTCCGTTCATGATTCAGGACATTTAGATTTGGG